AGGCATGGCAACGACGTCGACGCCATGACAACAGCACCTTTCTATCGTGCGGCTGCGATCGTCGGCGGGGCAAGGTTGTATTTGTTGCCACAATCGACGATACTACTTACCGCTCGTTTTATGAGTAGGCTGTCGAGACGACAAGAGCTGCTATCGCCCCATTTCGTGTGAAAATGATGAAGCCTTTTCACAAAAACAACTACAATTGGCCTCATGTTGGTACAGCATTTGACACGACTTTTCTGCCCAAAAGTAATTCTCGTCAAAAGCGCATTTCTGTCGTGCCAATGTCGACAAAACAGAGTTACATTTGCCGCGTTGCTCATTCTCTTTTATGTCTCGCCTTCGAGATGTGGCGCACAATCATAAGATTGTGGCAAATTTTGTTTACCACTTTTTCTGCAGCTTTCACCGAAATAGACTGACAACATTTCACATGCCGGAGAGACTACTCATTAAAGTAAAAGTAAGTAATATAGTCGATTGTAACAGAAAATGCCGCCTTGCTCTGTCGAAATGTGATATTGCAAAAGGCCAGTCTTATTTGCAATTGACATCGGCCTCGTGACACGAGGACAATGTGACAGTAGACAGTAGGAGAGCGCGAGTTCGAGTCCCGCCGGGTGTGCAGACGAGACCGGGTAGGTGGGGTCGAAATGGTCGTCCGTTTGAGCCGCGATGCGAACGAGCTGGAAGTGGCTGCAAACAGGCAGTTGGCAGCCAATTGGTGCACACGACTCGAGTTCGAGTCCCGCTCGGCGAAATGAGGCGCGTCATTGGACGTTGGGGCAACAGTTTGACGGAAAGGCAGTCTGGCAGTGTGGCGCCAAGTTGTGTGATTGTAGCAAAAGGGCCAGTTACAATCGCCAACTCAAGTCAGGTGGGCCAGACTGAGTGAATCCCAATTGAAATCACACGTTCATCGAGTATGATCGTGGAAGGTTGCTTTAGGCGCAAACATTTGAAGCTGGCCACGATTGCTTCGTTCATCTTCAAGCCGGCACGAACGACTGCACTTTCCGGTTGACTGATTCCGCCTCTTTCTTGTCGCCGTTCCTGTTTGAATTGTTTGCCCATGCGCGAGTATGAACTTAATGCAGGTG